ATTCCAGTCAGTGTGTCTCCCGGAGGACTCCGGAGGATGCAAGCAAAACCCGATGTGCTTCAGGGCTTATAAACCCTGAGCCCTAAAACTGTGGAATACCCTCAACCTAAGTCCTGCAACATCCTGCTTACCTCCGCCTTGAACTGACTCAAGCCCTCCACTCTGCACATCCGACGCTTCAAGTTAGGGCATTCCTTCAAAGGCTTCCATGAACCCTATACAACAAACCGCTCTAGGCTTAATGTGATTTCCTTCCAAGTTATAGGTTCTTTGGTGTTAAGGTAGGGTTGAGAGCTGCGTTTTTTGAAGGCTTGCCTCTCGTCTCCATTGTAGTTCCTTGTGTGGGCTACCTTCTTGTAGGATCCCAAATACCAAGTTTCTTAAACCAAAACTGACAAGGGACCCGCAAAGGAGATTCTAGATGGGGCTTAGGGTTCCAGGCTTGCAGACAAGTCCCTAAGCCCTAAACCCTAAACCCTAAGCTCTAAGCCCTAAACCCTAGACCCCAAAACCCTAAAGCCCTAAACCCTGAGTCTTCGGCGATGACGGGCTTTGGCTTGGAGGGTATCAGTACCTGGGCGTGCGGTTCGGGGACTGGGCCAGCTGAGGGCTTCAAAGGGGCGTAGGGTCTACTTGGGGATCCCCAAAACCTACCGTTTTAAGGGGTTCTACCCTCTTTTTAGAGGGGTCACCACCTACTATTTTGCAGGGCTTGGGGTCACAGGTAAAGGGTGTATTGGGGCAGTGTAGGGGTGTCCGGCTTAGGGCTTTAGTAGGGCTCTATAGGGTTTTAGGGCAGTCTAGTCCTTTGGATGTTTAGGGTTTAACAGTTTTGGGTTTAGGGCTTCAGGCTTTAGGGTTTAGAGATTCAAGTTGTTGAGCTTCGGGCTGCGAGGTCTGAAGCTTCATAACTGACTCAAGCAGGCTATGTGTGTGTTAAAAACAGGCTATCCTGTCTCTCTATGTGTATATGCGTACGAATATATGGATGCTGTTGTAAAGGTCTGTGTATGTGCGTACATTTATGCGTGTGTTATGTGCATGCATCTGTTTATGAATATGTATATTGCGATGCCGGACAACTGACATTCGAATGTATGTTGTGCAAAGTATATCGTGCAGCCTGCTGTGCATATGTGTAACATCTCAGAGTCTCATGTATATGTGTATGTATGTGTAGTATACATACAGATAGATACACATCGATGTAGAATTATGCCTAGATGTGGAAGCGGAAGTGGATGTACCTGCGCCTGTACATGTGCATAATGTCCCTCGGCGCCCTGAATGCAACACTTGAGAGGACCAACTCCTTAAACACCAAAGCCGCACTCAACCCTAAACCCTCAGCGCCTGACCTAACATACCGCTCCCTTACCCGAAAACCTCGAAAGACTCATGATGCCTTTCGAAGTTTGAGCATATTGCGTGTGGAGCTTCGGTTTTTTGTCCATCGGGCTTCGTGGGAGTGCTGCGTTGGTTTAGAGCTTCCTAGTCGGGGGTTCTAGGTTCTAGAAGTGTGATGGGGGCCTTCGATTATGTCTTATGCAGTGTTAAGAAGGATCTTCATACAGTTTACATAGCTTTCAGTATGGAATTGGAAGCGTGGGGTCTTCGGGTGTAGGGTCTGGGCGTACAGGCTCGGGTTTAGGGTTTAGGGGTGTAAGGGGTTAGGGGTTTGGGAGTTTAGGGTTTGGGGGTGCAGGGTTGAGGGGTTTAGGGGTTGAGGGGTTTAGCCTTAGGGCTTGGGCGCCCATACGCCGAATACAACCATGTAAAACCTAAGGCCATGAAAAAATCCTGTAGAGGCATCTCCATCGAAAGCGCTGTAAAGGCCTACCCTAGAAACTCCTGCCTTTCGGCCGTTTTTGGCAAGGAGCGTCGTCAAAGCTGGGCAGTCTGATCGGCACTTCCTTCACCTTTGCAGTTCCGAAATGATACTGCCAGGAGAAGCTTAGAGGATTTGGTGTTGGGGTTTCGGTTTTGGGGTTTCCCGTGTAGGGCTGCTACTACTAACTAGATTTTGGATTGCAACACTTGTTCTGGGACCTATGTTCGAGTCTACTGTAGCTGACTACCCTAAATGACACGCTGTCGAACACAACACTGCCATGCGCCACGTGCGCAGCCATCCTTAACCCAACAACCGCAATCAATGCAACGATAGCAACAGGAAGACCCAAAAAACATGAAGCAACAAAAACAGAGGCGAAACGCCTGCAAAAGTCAATCAGGAGCAGAAGGACATGCACACAGAGCCTGAGGCAGAAAGACACAACAAACCAATGTACCTTACCCTAAGGCTCAAAATAGCCCAAAAGCCTTACATGGTATGGTCTCCGGGCCCAAAAGCCTTACAATATGAGTCCTTAGAGCCTTATAAGTTAGAAGTCTCAAGCCCGGCGCGCCACGGAAGCCTGAGCGCCTGAACCCTCAAACCCCTGTACTCGACTCGTCACAGACCCAGCTTCCAAGAAAATGAACTCCTCAGGGTTTAGGTTTTAATTAGAGGGGCTTGATTATAGATAGCAGAGAGGTTCATAAGAGCCTTACCAAATATATATATATATAAATTTTATACACATACATACATACATGCATACATACGTACATACATACATACATACATACATACATACTTACATACTTACATACATACGTACATTTATTTATTTATTTACTTATATATATATATGTATAAATGTAAAGGAAAATATATAAATCATGGGGTGCCATGTGCTGGAGTCGGTTTGGGGTGTAAGGTCTGAGCCACCCCTCCGGTAAGTTTTGGGGGCTTAGGTTCCCCGCCAATAGCAGAATCATGCACCATCTGACACTGAAACGGAATCTCTTCGTCTTAGCCCTCCAACCCTGCATCTCAGGCACTGTACCCCAAAACTGAACCAGAAGCCAAGTCCCCAGACACCTTCGAACCCGACACCATGATACTAAAAAGCTGCCAACACCAAATCTTAACCATGACAAGTTGCCCTAGACCCCGTAGAGTCCGAATCCATAGACACCCCGAGTCCAAGTCCCCAAACACCGGGGCCCCATTCGACTCTAAAAACCCCCAAAGCCCAAAACCTTAAACACCGGAACCTTTAGGCCCCGACAACTAAGCCCCTAAAACCCCAAGACCCCCAACAAAAGCTTTCGAACCTCTACCACCCAAGAGACTTAAACCCCTAAACCCCAAACCCTGGTAGAACCCCTCAACAACCCCTGAAACCCCTTTTCGAACCGTACAGTAACCCTTATCAAACCCTTAAAGTTAAAGGACTTCTACCGGAACCTGTAAAGGAACCCTCAACAGGTCCTTAGAAGAACCCTGAAAGGAAGCCGTAAAGGAAACCCAAAACCTTTAAGGATCTGGCCGTGACTTTCGGCGGTTCTTTCTTAACCTCCGCCACGACATTGGCAAAGACCTCCGGGCATTCCCCAAAGGGGTTCCTTTCAAGCGGACCCCAAAAGGAACCCTAAATGGTATCCTTTAAGAGTTCGGTGAAGGTCTACGGTCTTGAGGGTTCTTTTAAAGCTTCTTGGCAATCCCCGAGATTTTTAAAGGGCTTCTAGGGTTCATTTAAGGGCTCGTACCAGGGTTACTCTCAGGGCTCTTTCATGGTTACTTTGAGGGTTCCTGCAAGGGTTTTAAGAACCTCAAGGGTTCCTTTAAAGGGGTTTAGGGTTCCTTTAAGGGTCTTTCAGGGTTCCTTGGTGCTGGGTTTGGTAGTTTGCGTAAACGTCTTATAAGTACTCTACGGGGCTCTGGCTGGGTATTTTCAGGGGTTTGGTGTCCAAAGGACCCAAAGAGCCACCAACTAACTTGTGCGGTATCGAGTTGATGGCGATCTGCTACTGTAGGTAATTCAGAGGAAGTAGATTCCAAGTTGATGATTATAGCGAAAGAGAACTCAGCCGACAATTAAATGAAAGGGTCAGGCCTGAACTTGAGAACCTCGAACTGTGAACCCTAAACCGTGTTCCGTAAACCCCAGAACCCGGAACCCCAACCTACAACCTAACCTCCATGGATCTGAAACTTCCGAAGCATGACTTACATTGGGTTTAGGGTTTAATTCGGGCAGTTTAGGGTTTAGGGTTTCTTGGGAATCGAAAGGTCTCGAAACTTTCGGGAGTCGTTGCAGGGCTTGGAACGGTCTAGGACTTTGGGCTTTGGGATTATGGTTCCGGGGTTTGGGTGGATTCAGGATGCAGGGTTGGATTAATTCACTATGTCGGGTCTGCGGCGAATGCAGGCTGCGAGCCTGAAGGAAGCCCGATATGAGCAGAGGTCGATCAAGATCTGGTGACAGGCCCCTTTACGGATCTATATTCCACCACTCCGCAAAGCTCAACTCTGCCTACAATCATGTTTAAGCTCTCCTGAAGTCCAGCCTCACAAAGCCTTCAGCTGCAATGACAATGTTACAAAGCCCTGAGCACCAGCAACTCCATATCCCCAACACCATACACCGGCAGCCTCAAGCACAGACTCCCTCAAACTCCGACTCTGCCTGCAGTGGCCTCTTGCATCACAGAAGCTCCTACTCGGTTCAACGCTCGACATGTTTGCTTTGCCACCGAGAGCCGCGACACGTCCGCAGTCTCGAAGTGATAATACTACGATTAGACTGCTCCGGCGGCCAACCGGCCCTTCTTGGCCGCCGACCGCCAGGGCTGAACTTCTGGAACGGTCCGAGACTCTGAAAACCTGAATAGATCGGTGCCCTGAGCCCTCACTCGGGAGTCCTTTGCTGACCTCGGCTCAGAGTTCCCCACGGGAAAACTAACACAAACATGGTCTCGCGGAAGGTTCGGCAGCCCGGCCCAACAGCCAGGAGCTGAAGCGCAAATACGAGCAGATCAAGAGTGACCAGCTCCAGGAGAAACCGAAGATGCTGCTGCAGAAATTATCCGTGATAATTTCCGCAGCAGCATCTTCGGTTTCTCCTGGAGCTGGTCACTCTTGATCTGCTCGTATTTGCGCTTCGTACGCGTCACCGTTCGGCCACGTGCAGCTCCGTGTCGCCCTCGGCTGGCTCGAACCACTCGGAGACCCTCTCCACTGCGGCTTTGATGCCTTGCCGAGCCTTCTCCACTGCTATAGGGTCAGGTGCTCCTCCGCTGAGGTGCCGCCTCAGGTGGGTGATCGGAAGGGCGGAACGGTCGATGCAGCGATCGCTCCACTTTATGCCCATCTTCTCCTCCGAGATCTGCATGTAGGACTTCTCCCGGACCTGGCCCTGCTGAAGTTGGAGCACGAAGGCCTTTGGCTCTCCTCAAAGTGAGTGCTCCTGAAAAGTGAAGAGCCAGCGGGAATTGGCCTCGTCTTTGAATAGTTCCTTGCGGGTGAGGCTGAGAGCGAGAGAGAGACCGGCAACAGGTTTGAAAATTGCTTGAAGCCAGCATGCTCAAACACGGGATTGCCCTGGCAGCAAGGGAGTCTCTGAACTCTTTGACCTTGCCTTTTTGCCACGGGCATCGTGTACCGTGTAGAACCCCAACACTGACAACAAGGCGCCCTTGTTGCCAGTGTTGGGGTTGTACACGGTACACCCCAGCTCTTCAAGGATTTCTTTGATGCCAATGGAAATGCTACACCATGGCTCCTGAAATTTGGTGGAGGGCATCGGGGCCTCTCGCGGGCATCGGCCAACCACTTGGCCGACTCCACTCGTCTGGGACCTTGTCGAGGCTCGCACTCTTGTAGCCAGCCACGGGCTCGATCAGGACACGGGGAAAGCTGAGCTGGGGTGATCTGTTGAGCAGCCTCGCCCTCGAAATTCGTGGCACTCTCTGCACTGCACAAGCACAACAGAACCCCTATACAATCCCTGAAACCTTGAACCCGTAAACCCCTGAATCCCACATCCCTCACTCCTGGACCCCCGAAATCTAAGACGGCTTCTCTAGCGATTCCGAAAGGGTGTCCATACCGTTTCCACACTTTCCCTGAGGGTTGCTACACGGTTGCTAAGTTTTCTGCGGAAAGTTCGGACCGAACTGCACTAAAAGCCTCCCCATCTTGAGACCTCGTGGTCCCTGTCATTTACCGAGTCCGCAAGCATACGCCCTTAATGAATCAGAGGCCTCAGCCACCAGAGTGGACCCTAAACCCTAAATTCCAACGGACACCCTAAGATAAAATTCAATCTGAGACCTCACTACCTGCCTTATTTAAGACCACTAAACCTCTAGCGACCCTATGATACTCTGAAAAAATCATAGAAATCATAATACGGCCTCTACAGAAACCTGCTACACACTTGCGAAAATGACGGCCCTAGCACACTTCAAGACCCAACTTGGCTGAGTTAATCTAAACACTGAATCTAGAAACCCCAAACTCCAAACCCAACAACGCCAGAACCCGAAACGCTGAACGCTAAACTTAAACTCGACCAACCCCAAACTTAAACCCTAATTAAACCCTTAAACCCTAAACACCCTAAACCCTTAAACCCTGAACCCTTAAATCCTAAACCCTTAAACCCTAAACCCTAAACCCCGAAACCCTGGACGCGAACCCAAACCCGAGCCCCCGACCGGCTCCGGAACTCGGCGAGGTCTTCTTTTCGCACCAAAGATGTCGTGGAACCTGCGAGTTGGAGCTGTTTAGGGTTTATAGGGTTTTAAGGTTTATAGTGTTTTTAACTTCTAGGGTTTAGTGGCTTATAGTGTTTAGGGTTTAGGGTGGAAGGGTTTCTAGTGCTTATAGGGTTTAGGGGTTGAGGGCTTNNAGGGCTTAGGGCTTAGGGTGTTGGGGTGCAGGGTTGTTGGGGTTTAGGGATTCGCAAGGCATCTACTGGTTCGGAGCTTGGGCTTAGGGCTCAGGGTTTGTGAAGTTTGGGGCTCAAGGCTTGAGGTTTTGAGATTCGGCGAATTAGGTCCAGCAGTTGGGTTTGGGAGTTAAGGTCTGGGAGTTGGAGCTGACGGTCGTGGGTTTAGATCATGAGGTTTCGCGTCGAACCGCTACGGTTTAGGGTTTAGGGTCTGGGGTTAGGGGTGTATGGTTTCGGTGCAGCCTTCAGTCGATTTGTTGGGATTCAATTTCTACAGCTTTAACAGCGCGTAGCTGAATAGCCTGAGGTACCTTGTTTGGCTTTGGAGCCCAAAGCCTGCAGGCGTAAAAGCTTAACACGACCTGAGACCGAAACTCTAAATCCGAAGCCCAGAGCTCTTAAGCCCCAAATCCAGAAGCATA